ATACCTGTATGTATATATATATATATATATATATATATTTGTATGTGTGTGTATGTGTGTGTGTGTGTTAAATAAATGCGCATTTATAGTGTGTAGTTTGAGAAACCCTTTTCTTCTCCATTTATCTATCGTTGGCAAATACAAATTTGTATTTTAAGGTTTGGAAAACGCACTAAAATATCATCCTGTTCAAATATCTTTTCAGATAATAAAGGGATAAGGTACCTCAAAAAGAAAAAAATGGAAGAAACATATAAGAATGACAGTTATAGTGAATAAAAGGAATAATGAAGTATATTTTATTTCATCTCTTTCACTTGCTCTCTGCTTTTTTTTACCCCTGCCTTCGCAAACTGTTTAGTTATGTTGAAAAAAATTCGGTTTAACTATTTTTAGAGTTAATGTTGTTAGTATTTTTATAAAAAAAATAAGAGAAAATTACTTTGTCTATGATAAAAAACATACACTACACATGCGAAAAAAATAATAATATTAGTGTTAGCATCTTTCCTTATGTTATTTAATGTACATATTTTTTTTATCTATGCAATACGCTAGTAATAATATTCAAAATTTTCTTGCGAACAATAGGATTTCATTTTGCTTGTTTTTTCTTCTTTTTGATTGACTTTGCTTGGAGTTTATTTTATTTGACAAACAATAGATTCTGGAAAAGGATTTAACAGCAAAAAATAAATGAAAACTATAAATTATACATAATGTGCAGCTGTCTGCGTTTATATTTGTTTAATTTTGAAGTCTGTGGGAGGGGAAAATACATATTCCTATGTATGAACGCAGGATGAATACCTTAGAAAGGGGTGGAAGGAAAGTATCCTTCGAATTATTTTAAAAGAGATGCAATATTCCTTTATTAACCATATTATTATTGTAGGGTGGGAAAGAGAACATCACAGGTCTGTTTTTACTTTTCATGATTAAAAATAGACACGATAAAAGGATAATCTTTCCGAACTGCACTGCAGCGTGGAATGAAATCTAGCGATGCTGTTGTTTAGAGCATTGGTATGTCTTTATACTCCCCCCCCCCCCCCCCTCCTCCTTTCGTCTCTCCGCAGTTTGGTCAAAAAGGAAGAAATTCATATTGATAGCGCACAACCACACACCCATACCTTCCTATTTCATAATAACACCCATCGATCTAGTGAGCAACGACTCAACTTAATCCCTATTTATTGCTTGATTTATTAATTAGTCTATTTATTTATTCATTATTGTTACAGTAGGAGTATTGCTATTACTAGTCCGATTGTATTACTATTATCAATCTATTTAAAACTCCAAACCACTCATGCTACGTCGATCTCGGCGGGCGTGGATGGCGGATGACATGGCGACATGGGCGAATCGGATATACGAGCTCCGCCGGGACGTCGTCCGCCCCGCCCATGTTGACGCCGCGGAGCAATGGCTAATGAAAATGATGCCGAAAAGGCCATCCAACAGGGCCTGTCTTGGATTTTGGGAGGTCCAAATCGGAGTGCTAAACCAATTTGTCGGGATTTGGCAATTTAAAAGCCTCACCGACCGCGGGGAAACACTCAATTGCCCTCACATGGCCGACAAAGCGTGGGAGAGCGAAATGGACCCAACGAGGCCCTTCCCTTACGCGCAGTCGAATCTTCTCATGAAACTGATCTACCGCGAAAGCAACATCAGCCGATTACGGTATAACTATTTAATGCAATTTACGGACTCGAAGGAAATCGAAACCCCCCCGGGATCCATTTTGGCAGCAACTTTTCAGGTCGTGGTGGGTTCTCCCGAGGGGAAGTACGTGCATTTGATCAAAAATAACAGCCCCGACGGGGTGATCCCGCTCACACCGATTCTGGGAAATTCCTCACTTTTAATGAAACCCGCACAATGCGCGCAAATTATGCGATGTGTGTGGCAATAATACGCGATTGGAGTTTTAGTATGATCATTGATATTATGATTATTGGATAGAACTCCTTTTATTTAAAACGTATTTTTAGCTATTTTCCATTTAAAACGAAAAGGAACGGAAGTGTGGGAATAATTAAAAAAAGCAGATTTATCTTCCTTCTCTACTCTGTTCCCCATTGTTTTCATTCCATTTAAGATATGTATCCTTTTGTGTTGTTAATATAATGTAGATGGAATGAAAATAGATGGGAACAAAAATAATGGAAAATTCTAAAACCAGTTGTGCCTATCCTTTTAAAAATATATGATGATCAAATTAGTTTATTTCGAACACAAAAAAAAAGGAAGATGCACATACATTCGCTCAATTAAACTAAACAGTGGAGTATGTTTAGATCCCGCTTACACATTTGTTTTCGGTCTACGTTAACAAATATTTCAAAAGAAAATGATGAATAAAGTTTGATAAAAATAATAGGTTAAGGAAATGTGGAATTAATGATCAATACGCTTAGGTCTTTTATGCGTATTTATTCATTACCATTTTTCCTCAACCATTACCTCTACTTCCATAACAAAGAGAAAGTATATGGATACCTGGCATATTAAACACTGGAATATCATCTTTTTATTCTCCCTCCCTCTTTTCCATTTATTACTTTACCCTTTTGAAGTAATCAAAAATAAAGTAAAGATACCATCAAAAATAACGTAATAACAAAATAAGAGGAAGAAGGGGGGGGGGTATCATGATAATGACAAAGCAGCTGAGTCAATCCTGCTATTGTTAAACCTTTTACGCCTGACCTCAGGATTCTCATTTCCATCTACACCTACATATTTAGCTCTCTATATTTATGGTGGCTGTTATGAATTGCAGCCATGGCTTTCCGTTTGAACGCGTTTTCCTGATTAATTTAACGCGTCGGCGGGATCGTCTGGAGTTTATGCGCGCGCAGCTTTTCACCCGGGCGGGTTTAGCGCCCCACGCCGCGCGGATTGAGCGCGTGGCGGCGATCAACGGCGAGGATCTTCGCCATTCTTCGGATGCCAACCCTTTCGAGCGACTTTTTCGCGCAGGATTTCTCTCAAAGTTGGGGCTTTGCCGTCTACGGCAGACATCCTCTGCACGAAAAGTGTGGGGGATGGATCTAAACCCCGCCGCGGTTGGGTGCGCGCTCAGTCATATCGAGTTATGGGCGCGGATTATTGCCTTATCCTCTTCTTTTTCGACATCGTCGTCATCGCCGCCGCGTTTTCTCGTGCTCGAGGACGATTCCCTCCTCCCAGAGGCCTTTTTGGAGCGCTACCACGCGCGAATCGCGCAAATCCCCGCCGGGGAACAAAATAATTGGGAATTACTCTATCTGAGCGGCCTCGACGCCGCTTCCGACGCGGTGAAGCAAAAGTTAATCATCGCCCCGGGCATCTCGCGCGTTTCGCAGCTCCACCGAACCACCAACGCCTACGTGGTCACCCCCAGTGGGGCGAAAAAACTCCTCGAACGGGGTCTACCCCTGACTTTTCAGATCGATACGATGATAACGATGAATGTTGAGAGGGATTCCAATCCGGATTATCGCGAGGACGGTGGGAATGGTAATAATAATAATGATCATCATATTCATGGGGAGTCGGCGCGGCCATTGTACGTGCAGGAGCCGCGCTGTTTAAGCCTGCAGCCGCCGCTTATCGTGCAGGCCACGCAATTGGGGAGTGATATTCAACCTTCCCCACCCCCCTTGAGGTTGGATCTGCGGGAAGATGAAAAAGACAAGACCTAATAAGAAAAAAAAGACGCTGTTGGGAGGCTGGATGAGCGCGCGTACCGGCATGGAAACATAAAAAAATGGATATTTCACGCTAATTTGCGTTTGTTCTTTCTTTTTGTGTGTGAATGTGTGGAGGGGGAGGGGAGTAGGGCGGCTCTCTAAGTTTGTACCAGTATTATTGTGAAATGCTCAAGTTGAGGGTGGGTGAATAAAAGTGGTCATGTAGAAGTGGGGTTTCCCATCGTCCCCTTTCTTTACGAAAAAAAAGTAACGCTTCTTCGTTTACGCAATGGAGTATCATTTCTTTTCCCTTTCACACCTTTGGAATTGTCTTTATTATTACTCCCAACACCGTTATCCTAAGAAAGCTAGAACGCTCAACGCTGAGTGCGGCCTTAGCCCAACCCTACAGCGTACGATCACAGCCACAGCGGTCTATTGGATTTTTCAGTAGGACTACCTTTAGGTTCAGCACGAAACCGGCACCAAAGGGGCAAAAAGGAGGAAAAGGGAAAATATGTTCAAATTCCTCAAAAAAACCTCCCCGGAGGAGGAAGTCCGTCAGTGGACGCGGCGTCTTCGAGCCGAGCAGCGCCAGGTTGATCAGCAAATCACCAAAATCCGCCGGGAGGAGGACAAGACGAAGCAGGCGATGCGCGGGGCGGTCAAGGCGAACGATTTGGTCGCCGCGCGGGGCCTCGCGCGGGCGCTTTTGCACGCCCGCCGCGCCGTCAGCCGCCTTCACGCCGCGAAGGCGCGGATGGCCTCTGTCGCGATGCGGCTCCAGCACGACGCCGGCCAGCGCCGCCTCCTCGGCGCGCTCGAGACGAGCGGGGCGATTCTGCGCGAGATGAACGCCCTCGTCCGCGTCCGCGAGGTCCACGACGCGATGCGGGCCCTCGGGAAGGAGATCGAGAAGGCCGGCATCATCGACGAGATCACCGACGACGTCCTCGACCTCGAGGACGCCGAGGACGACGACGCCGCGCTCGAGGCGGAGGTCGGCAAAGTCATCACGGAGGTCACCCAAACGCAGATCGCAAACACCCACGTCGGGACGACCAAACTTCCCGCCCCAAACGAACCCGCCTCGGAGAAAATCGCAGAGGAGGAAGAGGAGGACGAGGAGTTGCTGGCGAAACTCAACGCGCTGCGGACTTCCTAACGGGAATAAAATACAATTATTATTTTTGGGGGGGGAGGGAGGAGAGGGGAAGACGTTGAGAAGGAAATAAAAGGCGCTCATTTTCATCCTTGGGGGTTTCTTCCTTTTGACTTTCGTCTCCTCTTGTCCTTCTGATTTGTGTTCGCAGGGGGTGATCGCTTATAAAACGATGTGTCTGTGTAGCTTACTTTCCTTTGCATGATGAAAGACGTTTTTTTTTGCTAATATTTTGCTGTCTTTACATCATCAAAGTAAAGAACATCTGATTGTATATGGTATTGTTCTTTTTCCTTGTACTATAAAGTTCTCTCTTGTACTTTCCTGGCTATGTGAATGCTGCGTAAAGAGATCGTGTCGAATTTTATATACACTACTCAACAATTCTCTCTTTCTAAAGATTTTTTTACAACTGTTTTGTTCGTTATGATTATTATTATTTCAGAAAGAAAATAGCCTATTTATTCTCATTGATGTTTTTTTTGAAAATAAGGAGAGGGAGGGGGAAATAATAATGCAATTTACAATTCTATCGAGTCATGACTCCTCCAGAAGACTTACTACGAAAAAAAAATTCAATAATTAAATCACAAACAGTGCTTCTATGAAGAGCACTAAAGACTTTATTGGGGTAAATGCTTATTCTTACTACTACAAAGGGGGAAATTTCATTTTCTCTTTCTCGTTTTTCCTTTTTCATCCGCACTTCTGGAATAGGTTGATATTGAATTTGATTTTTTAGTGATATATTTATTTTCGAATACTCATATTGTAGCATTACATTTTCCATCCAACGACATCATTTAGAAAAGTGAAAGTCGTTTAGTGGTGTCATTAACTCTTTGAGTGTATATGGATTATTCTTTGTTTAATTCACTTAATTAGGCCTATAACTATATATATATAAATATATATTGATTTATATACTCAATTTATTAGATGCATAAAGAATACTGAATACGGATAGTATATAAATAGTTTTTTTTTATTTATT